GTGTATGAGGGGTGTATTATTTTATGTGCAGGGATAGGTTTTTGTTTTTTATGTGAAGGTGGGGGGAGGGGGGGAAGTAGAAAGAGTATAAGTGTATTAGGCTCCATTCACACCTGTATCTTTAGGTGCAATTATGGATTCCTGTTGCACCTAATAGCTGTCACCTATTCAAGTTAATGATCAGGTGACAGAAGTTGCATATAAACTCCTGCACACCGCATCTAATATGTGATATTATTACATTCGGGTTAGGAATCAATCACTCTCCCTGCAGGGAGCCCTGACAGTTACGGCTCTCTGCAGGGACAGGGTAGAGAAGTGAGCGAGCGACGGTATGTGTTCGTTCACTTCTCGATCTATTGAGTCGACGTGTGACAGTTTCATTGTCACACGTCGGCTTGAACTATGAGTCTGGGTGAAAATCACTCAGCTCATAGTTCTCCTTTAAAGTTTTAAATTTGGCGAGCGGCCCCCATGGGAGAAAAAAAATTGTCGTGTGGCCCACGAGGGAATTGAGTTTGAGACCCCTGCTTTAATCCCTACAACATGCATACACTAGGGTCAATTTTATCACATGCAATTAACCTGCCCGAGGAACCCTTCACATGGAAAATCCACACAGTATCTGCAAAGCAAAAGTGCTCATCACTCCAAGGCACTATAAACAAACTACATTGCCAGATACATTAGGTACCCATTATAATATACTACTATGCTGCCAACATAATAATAATTACCACTGGATTACCAGAGATAATATATACATATCTAGAGAAATTATTGACATAATTAATATTTAGATATCTAGTTGAGTGTAGGCAGGAGGTCTTCTTTCCAACCATAAGTGGCAATCAGTAGGGTCTGCTTGCTTAATAACCTAAGCTTTGCAGAAAATTAATTTTTAAAGAAAACACATTCCTCTCACATTTTGTTCCAGTGATACAGGCAGCAATGAAAAAACTATTTTCTGCTCTATAAAAAATAAAAGGAAAACAGTTTTCTCCGTATTTCTACTTAATGTTCTCTC